CAGCGACTCAAGGGAGATGTGTGTGAAGACAATTCTGCATGTATGAAACATTAAATGCATCATCCATTGCCTAAAGATTTATAAAATCTCTTGTTATACAATTTCCTAGGTAATAGAGCCAGAAGTTTGTAGGCTTCCAATGCATAATACCTTTTTTAATTTTCCAAATTTTATAACCACATTTTCAAACATCCAAACAAGTTGAAAGCATAACACAAATGAGCCCTTCCATACTCACCATCACATTCAAGAAGCATTAAGAATTTGCCATCGTGTTTTCTTTATCTTTATTATGTTTTTTATTATGTTTTAATTCTTGAAAATGTCATTGATAGCACTTGAGAAAAGAAGCTTACTCAGACCCTGTGAATGACTGTCTTTCCCTCCTCCTCGCCCACTGAACGTCATGGGGCTCAGTGGGATTGTGGGGCAGGAGGATGGAGCCTTAGCTACTGCTTTAGATTCACAAGACACTGATCTCAAAGGCCTCCTCTTACCCCAGGTTCTTGGTCCCTACTTTGACATTTAAAGCTTTTCTTGTCCTGGCCTTCCACATCCAGATCTGGATGGCTGCTTCCAATTTCCATCACTCACACTGATGAACCTTGTCACTACCGAGATTTTTCCAATGATCTGGCCCATGTGCTAGGAAACTGAACAAGAAAAGTCATCTTTTAATAAACTGGAGCTGGTGTGGACCATAGGACTTCAGGCTAAATTTTCCATGGAAATCTCACCTGCCTTGTTTTATCTCAAATGGATAAAGTCTGTATCTGTGCATCTACTGAAATCTCTTTCCACCTCACCTTCTTCATGTTCTTTTTTCCCAGGGTCTCTTAGGTGGGTCTTATGATTTTTTTATTCCCATCTTTCTAGTGCATAAATAATATGGGGACAGTGTATGGGATATTACAGTATGGGACAGTGAAGACCAGCATCTCTGCATTCAGACAACTAAGAATGTCTGTACATGGATAGTGCCCAACATTACAGAAGCTGTATTCTTTTCTTCTTACACAAACATATCTATCATAAAGCTTTATTAATAAATTAAGTCAAAGAGATTAATGACAATAGAAAAACAGCAACAACATACTGTTATTAAGATGATGTGGTCTTTTTCAAAATACTATACTGTATTCAACCTTCTGATGATGATGTAAGAGGACAAAAAGCCTACATATGAGATGGAATGAGGTGAGTGATATAAGCATTATGGCATTGTAGTACACTATTATTAACTCTCTAATGTTGCATCAGAAGGATTGTCTGTCTTGGGTTCTACTAGATCAATGATCAGACCATGATGATGTCAATGAATAAAAGTGAGGTCGAGACAGTAGATTGTGATCCATGATAGTTGCAGAATTTTTTCTAAAACAGTTCTTAAAAAATCATCATAAATGTTGATGTCTTTCTCATGTCTGGCCTCTGCAAAGCGTTCACCAACTCCTTCCAATTTCTTAACTGCTGACATTTCTTCATGGCCTCCAAAAGGCAATTTCATGTCTTCACCAAGCATGTAAAATTAGGTCTAAACTAATTTTCATTGCTTTGTCAATGGTTCTCCTAACTTCTCCATCAGTCCCTTGGAAGCCTTTAAAATAAGCTATGGATTTCATTCCCTAAATTATTGCAGAAGGTCTTTATAGTTTCTGGTTTGAATTCTTCAATTGGACCTTTGATGAATATCATTTTATCAGGAATAGTGAATTATTTCCATGATCACATAAAGTCCAAGTGAAGGTCTGCATGTGCAACTGATCAAATGCAATTAAACATCAGGTGAGCATGACCGGCTTCGACAAAGAGAACAACGCTCCAGCCAAGGGACTGAAGCTGTGAGCTTTCATTTTGATGTGAAAACACAAACTGGAAATTTTCATTTGTATAATAAATAGATTCAGAATAGCCAGGCACACTTTCTATTTTCTATTATTATGGGTCTTTACATTTCAACCCTTCCTCTTCTGGATATATAAAACTTCTGAGATGAAATATTAGAGAAGCCATTCTAGAACCAAGATTACTATTATGCAGGCTTTCTGGTTAGACCTCCAGAATATAGATAATGCACTTTTTTATGTATTTAGTACAGGGTCTACCGGGTCTCACTACAAAGAGGGAACTCATAGTGATTCTCCTGGTTTCAGCTCCCCAAGCGCTGGGATTACAGGCATGTACCACCATGCCCAAGTCTTGATCACTATCTCAGCACCCTGGAAGCACAGTTGGCATGGCACACCGGGGATCAAACCCCAGCTGCTGTGCTCTGCCTATGCAGATGCTTTAGTCCGCTGAGCTATGTGGCCAGCCCATGATCCACTTTTACTTGACAGCAAGTGTAGTCCTCATTCTGGACCCAACACCTGCCTTTATCTTATCACCGAAATGTCATACAGTAGCAAAGTCAATCTGCTCTAGGTTTTGCACCCTTGACTCTCATTTACACTTTTTGAATGTAGGCTCTGTTGGATGTCTTTTTCCCAAAGAGCTCAGATTCATTCCAATTGAAGACTTGCTCCCTGGAGGTCTCCTTTCTCCTTAATCAACTTCTTAAATTACCAGAAATGTGGCAGCCACATCTTCATTAGCAGGCACAGTCTCTGTAGTCTGTTTTCTGTTTGGCCCAAACCTATTCCTCAATCCATGAAGCCCCCTCCCTTTCTTGAAGCAGATGGCTTGGTGTTATCTGCGGCAGGGTTTACCTGGGCAATGTCAATAGGCTTAGTGCTTCTTAACATCACATAACGCAGCCAATCAGAATTCAATTTCCCTTCATGCTTTCTACTCATTGTTTTTCAATAGTGTATGTGTGCAGTATGCAATGATACACTGATTGTAGAGAGTTGCTGTGTGTACATTATACATCTTA